AGAAATCGAAGGGCCGCTTGTTCAAAAGTGAAGAGACATCGCTCTGCAAATCTCAAAAGCTGGATTTTCCGGCGTAAGTTAGGCGACGCTTTCTCGGCTTTCCAGAAAACGCGTTCAACTTTGTCAAAAGATCTCCGACAAAGTTGAAAACACGTGGAGGCTGGCGACGCTTTCGCGGCTTTTCAGAGCACGGGTGCCACTTTGTCAAAAGATCACGTGGAGGTCATCATCGCAGCTACACATCTTTAGCTGACAAGCGCAAAGTTCGGCGACGCTTTCTCTGCTTTTCAGAAAACGCGTGCCACTTTGTCAAAAGAGACGCTCGTTCAGAAATCGAAGAGGCGTCGTTCAGAAATCAAAGAGGCGTATTCAAAGATCGAAGAGTCGTCACTATTTCAAAAAGCTGAATTTGCGGGATCAAAACGTTTGTCGACAAGGGTAAAAGAACAGTACCACCACTTGCTATTGGGAAATCCCTATATATGTCGACCTTCATCTTTTATGGCAAGGCAAACCTGCAAACAAGAAAAAAAAAATGCCCAACTCTTCCTCACCTCCGAGAGTACACTCCCAGCAAAACATCTCAAAATACTCAATTTTTTCCTCTTCCCCAAAGATGATACTAGATGCCTGGAGTACAGATGACCCAGGAGGAAACGGTAGATGGAAGCATGTGCTGATTCATTCACCGCTTCTTCAAAAGCAAAAGTATCTCATATCATCAAGGGCGAAAGCAAAGGTATCTCATATCATGCTTTTTCCCTGTCATTTTCTTTGTCCTTGCTCTTACATGCAGGAGAAGGGGAAATAGAGTTATCAGTCGGAACCTGAAATCAAACTTCCGACCTGGAACTGATTGCCTGGAACCTTTGCCTGGTTGCTTACCTTGCATTGCTCTCGAGTACTCATCGTCGCGGAGAAGTAATGTTTTGAAGCACCATTTAAATGCAAAGGTTGCATTCCATTCCTGCATCAGAGGACAAATACTACACGAGAAGATGCCAAACCTGCATAAGGAAATACCACTTCTGCAAAGGGAGCAAGTAAGACAAGTGAAAATGATACATCAAAGCATGTGGAGACAAGCACAACAAATATATGTGCTGATTCATTCGCTGCTTCTTCAAAAGCAAAGGTATCTTATATCATGCTTTCTCCATGTCCTTTCCTTTGTCCTTGTTATTACTCGCATGGCAAAGTGAAAAGAGCAATCAGACGGCACTTGGAGTCAGTTTTCCGATCTACCCTCTTCAATACGAATTGGGGAAAGATTGAACAAAGAAACAGGTCATCACTTCCACCTCGTGCTTGCCTGCCATGTGTATGAATCCTGCTACCCAGTTCAAGAGTAGCACAAAGGAAAATCAACGATAGGGGGAGACCAAAAGAATCCTCCAGCCCAGTTCAAGATCAAGCCTCGATGGCCCTTGAAGAAATCACAAAGTCCGATTCAAAATCAAGTGTTCACCACCCTTGAATCAAATTCAACTCCAGATCAAAGGAGTAAGTTCAGACCTTCGGAGGAGACCAAAAGAATCCTCCAGTCCAGTTCAAGATTAAGCCTGTGGAAAATCAACGATTGGAAGAAACCAGAAAATCTTCCAGTCGAACTCAAGATCAAGCCTCGATGGCCCTTGAAGAAATTTCCAGCCCAATTCAAGATCAAGCCTCGACGGCCCTTGGGTTGACATCTACATTAAGGGACTTCAAAACGCATCTTCAACACGTGACAAGCACATGTCTACGACGCGCCTTGAAGTGGGGGCATTTGTAGACATCAAAATTTCGGTAAAATGAATGTTGACCAATAATTAAAATTTCAACTCTCACGTATCACATAAATTTTACATGTAGCGTGTGACTCAACGAAAAATCGAAATAAATTGGAAAAGTTATCAAATAGGACACGTGTCAATACCTGGCAGAAATGATTTATTTCATCTGATTATTTAAATCCAAAAATCAAGTTTTGGAATTCTATAAATAGGAGGCCAAGGCATTCATTTGAAAAAAAAAAGGAAGAAGGAAGGAGAAGGAGAAAGGAAAAGAAGAAAAGAAGGAAGGAAGAAAGAAAGAAGCCTTGAAACTCTAAAGCTCTCAAGCAAATCCCGAAGGATCAAGAAAGCAATCTTCGTTCTTCGTCAAATCCACCTTCAAGATCAAGCCCCGACGGCCCTTGAAGAACTTCCACCAACTCAAGATCAAGCCCCGACGGCCCTTGAGGAAAGTGTTCATCATCCACACATCCGTTCATCCTTCAAGATTAAGCCCAGAAGCCCTTGAAGATCCGTTCATCCTAAGATCAAGCCCCAACGACCCCTTTGGATCAACAAATCCACACATCCGTTCATCGTTCATCATCCATCAACCTTCAAGATCAAGCCCCAACGGCCCTTGAAGATTCATTCATCATCCGTTCATCCTTCAAGATCAAGCCCAACGGCCCTTGAAGAACTTCCACCAACTCAAGATCAAGCCCCGACGGCCCCTTGAAGAAAGTGTTCATCGTTCATCATCCGTTCATCCTAAGATCAAGCCCCAACGGCCCTTTGGATCAACAACCTCAACAAATCCACACATCCAATTGTCCTTCAAGATCAAGCCCAAAAGCCCTTGAAGATCCGCTCATCCACCAACCTTCAAGATCAAGCCCCAACGGCCCTTGAAGAACTCCCACCAACTCAAGATCAAGCCCCGACGGCCCCTTGAAGAAAGTGTTCATCATTCATCAACTGTTCATCCTTAGATCAAGCCCCGACGGCCCTTTGGATCAACAATTCATCCACAAACCTACACCCTTCGAAGATAGAATCAGAGGACCAAATTACAAAGAGATTGTAACCTCAAAATCTTTAATACAAAAAAATATATTTTGTACACGTATTCTTGTCGCTTGTTTCAGGAATTTCTCGTGTTTACAGTCCTATCATCCAAACATAAAAAAAAACCAAAAAAAAAAAAAAAAAAAAAAAACCAACACATCTTCTTTCCCTTCAAATATATAAGAGCATTTTCAATGAGCTCCCTAGATCAGCTTTTAATTAAAATTTAGGGAGGATTTGAAAAATGGTGATGCTAAAAAGACCATCTTTTTTAACAATATTTGTAGACCACAAGTTGTGACTATCGATAGTTGAATTCCTTCTTTAAATCATTAAAATCATCTCCAATTACACTCCCTATTCACCACCTAAATAGAGATCGTCTAATAGCTCCTAAATCTAGAGAATGAGAAAGGATATTCTAAGACTCCTAGCGTTAATTATTGTTGATTAATGTTTAATGCTATTTCAAAATTTTACTTTTATTCTTTTCTTATTTTTATTTGCAAACAAAACTTATAGAAAGTATAAGATTGAAGTAAAAAGGAATTAAGACATTTATTGCTTCTCTTAAACTAGAAAGTATGATTAGGGTAAAAAAAATTAGAGCTCCTAATTTTTTTTTTAGTTTTTTTTTAGCTAAAATTAACTAATAAAAACATGCAAGTGACCATTTACTACAGTGATGGAAATATGTTGTACCCTTGCATGACGGCGTAAGTTCGAACCTCGTCAGTAGCTAATCTAACATCTGACTTACTAATGCTATCGCTGGACTAAAAAAAACTACTAAAAACATGATTGGAGATGCTCTAACCAAATATAATCTCCTTCTTCCCCCGGTCTAGTGTTGCCATGAAAAATACACCATGGCTAATGTCAGCCCTATCCTCATCCCCTCTCCAGCCTCTTGCCTCCTTTGCTTCCTCTCCAATCCCTGTCTTGTCCATTGTCCCCACCCCAAATCCCTATTTTCTCCAGCGACCCAACCTTCAATCCCTTTCTTCTTCTGTCAGCCCACCGACTATTAATCACTTTTTCCACTGATGAACCCAACCCCACTCTTATCCAGCGAGGCCACCCCAAACTCTCTTCTTTGGTGATGGCACTTGAAATCATTATCTTCGACGATGTCGGCTCGAAGGTGAACTGTCATGGGAGAGAGGGAGAGAACGATAGAGAGATAAGAGCATTTTCAAATAAGATGTCAAAATATTAAAATCAGCACTAGTAGTAAAAAAATGTAGCAACATTAATGTTATTCAACCAAAAAGTCAAATATGATGTTTTCCAACCTAAAAACCAAACTTGATATGGATTGGCATCCCTTACTCCTACTCTCAAAATTGACAGCAACGTCAAAAAAAATAATTAGTTATTAAATGCATTTTATTAATTTTATTATTGTTTTTGTTTTAAAAACATTTATTATAATTTATACTAGTTTTTCTTATTTTGTGTGTGTATGTGTATATATATATATATATATTTTTTTTTTTTGAAGATAAACCATAGTGGTTTTATTCATGATGAATTCAGGTTTTTCTTATCTTTTATATTTTACTTTTTGAAGATAAATGAAAGTGATTTTATTCATTGTGAATTCATAATAAAATAGTAGCAGTTTTATTTGACATATCATATGGTTTACATTTAATCTAGGGAATTGGCACTATAAAAATTTCATTTTATACTCTTTATAAGTGTAGTTTTCTTTTTTAATATAGAAATTTTGAAGTATATAATGAAATTTTTAAAGTATTAATAACAATTCCCTTAATCTATGAATCGTTTATCCTCCATTCAATAATGTTTTTCCATGTGATGTCACCCAATTATGGGTGGGGTCCATGATTCAACCAATGAGACTTTAGAAATGTACAAAACGAATAGCTTATCGCTCGCCCATGCGGGCCATGCCTCCACCATACTCCATGGAACTTTCATTCCAGAACTTTCCTAAGGACCACTCTCTCTCTCTCTCTCTCTCTCTCTAAAAACTTCTTGCCCAAATGGAGAAAGAGTTAATGTGCAAATCAGAAAATAGTGTGCTATTTACAAATATTTTTAATTTATTATTCATCTGCATTTTTAATTTACGGTTGTCAAATTGATTGAAGTAAAAGAAATTAAAAGACGAAAATTAACAAGGATAAAAAGTAAAAAAATATAAATAGAACACATCCATTAGAAATTCCAGAACTTTCCCGAAACATTTTAAGATTTGATTAGATCACTATTTAACCCCATCAGTTTCGCAGCAGCATCTTCTGTGACAAAACCTGCCAACTATATATAATGGCTTTAAACCGCTTTCCCGAAGAAGAAAGAAGAAATCCAAAGTCTCAAACTTTGCCAGCTCTCTCTCTCTACCCCCCTATCTCCTCCCTCTCTCTCTCTCTCTCCCCCCCCTCTTTCTCTCTTCCTTCCACTTTCATAACTGATTCTTGCCCTGATTCAGCTCAAATCTTCCTTTCCCTGATCAGAAATCTCGAAAAGTGTCCGCCTTTGAGCTCCTCCTACTCGGAAGCAGGAATTTCATGACAACTGCAGCTCTGCCTTTTTTCTTGCATTTCAACAGCAACCCATGTCAGTTTTTAGACTCTTAATCTCTGAATTAATCTTCTTTCTTGCTTAATTAATTATCAAAATCGGATTTTGGATCCGACCCAGAATTCGATTTCGAAAAAAAGTAGTGGAAATTGGTGCGACATTCAAAACCCACCAAGATTTTGTTCGTATTTCTGCGATTTTTAGCCATGAATTATTTGTACCCAGTGAAGGAAGAGTACCCGGGATCGAGTTCGTCGCAACCAGGTCCGGGTTTCGACCAGATGGTGATGACGATCCCGCCGCCGCAGCCGATGGAGGGCCTGAACGACATGGGCCCTCCGCCGTTTCTGAACAAGACGTACGACATGGTGGACGACTCGGGGTCGAACGGGGTCGTCTCGTGGAGCAGAGGAGGGGCTAGCTTTGTTGTTTGGGACCCACATACTTTTGTGATGAGCCTCCTACCCAAGTACTTCAAGCACAATAATTTCTCAAGCTTTGTGAGGCAGCTCAACACTTACGTAAGTGTGTTTTCACCCCCAAGCTGAAATCTTTACAAATTGGTTAGTGAAAATTTCGATCCTTTTTCCATCAAGTTTTGCAGACCTTCAAAGTTTAAATGTGTGTGGAAATAATCCAAATGCGATGATTTTTAACACTCCTCTTTTAGCCTCGTGCAAAAAATTGTAAAATATTCAATTTAGGGCGCAGACGGCTAAGAAGTAAATGTGAAAATCGTGTGTGGATGATCATTGTTCTACTGAACGTCGTTCATCCGAGTCCCCTGTAATTTTCTTTCCCATATTTTTCAACCCAATTAAGAAAATTCTCCCCTAATCCTAAATGTTCTTGATCATCTGAGTTTTTTATTATTTTTATTTGATTATTTATTCTTGGAAAAAAGTAAAAAGTTTTTCCTTTTGAATCTGCTTAGAAGAAGAGCTACTTCATTTGGGTGTTATTGAAGTTTCACTGTACTGGTTGTTTTCATTTCTTCAATTTTCGTATGGTCATGGATGTTACTTGTTGCTTTTTCCCCATCCCTCTCTTTACTTTTTCAATTTGTGCTCCTTTCCTCTGTGCTGTCCTTTTGGGTGGTGATTTTCTCTGTCCTTTTTCTCTTTCTGCACTCCTCTCTCGTTTTTCAGCCTTGGTATTGAATAAATCAAAGAAGAATCAAGTGACGAAAACAAGGAGAAGGAGTGCATGAGGAGACGGCAGGAGTATGAAAATCGCTACCTTTTTTTCTAAGGTTTCTATGTTCTGTATTCTCATTAGTCGCCCATCTTGATTTCTACTGGTGTCAAATTTCAAAAAGTTAGTAATACAATACTCAGCACTATCTAAGCTCCTTGTGCAGCGCATATATATAATATATATTTGGTGTGTATCAAATATTTGATGGGCATTGGTTGAAAGGGTTAAGGGAGAAGATTTAGTAGAGTTATGAATCTGATTCGGCAATTAGGGTTTGTAATGTCATTGGTTTTGGTAATTTTCGTCCTAATGTAATTTAACTTCTGCAGGGTTTTAGAAAGGTTGATCCTAACAGATGGGAGTTTGCCAATGAAGGATTTGTAAGGGGTCAGAAGCATCTTTTGAAGAACATTAAAAGAAGGAAAGCACCTTCTCAGCCTTTTCCGGCACAGCAAGCTGTTGGACCTTGCATGGAATTAGGCCACTTTGGGATAGATGGAGAAGTTGATCGTTTGCGGCATGACAAGCAGGTTCTAATGATGGAACTAGTGAAGCTTAGGCAGCAGCAGCAGAGTACTAGAGCCTACCTTCAGGCCATGGAGCAAAGGTTACAGGGGACAGAACTAAAGCAGCAGCAGATGATGTCTTTCTTGGCAAGGGCAATGCAGAACCCGGCTTTTATACAGCAGCTAGTCCAACAGAAGGAGAAAAAAAAGGAGCTTGAAGAGGCAATGACTAAGAAAAGGAGGAGGCCAATTGATCAAGGACTTAGTGGTGTTGGTGGTGGCGAATCAAACCAGGTTAAGAGGGAGCCTCCTGAATTTGGAGATTGTGAGTATGAAATGTCGGAGCTTGAAGCACTTGCGATGGAAATGCAAGGATTAGGTAAGGTGGGAAAGGAACAGGAGGAAGTGGTAGAGCCACTAGATAGCGGGGATAAAGAGCTTGATGAAGGATTTTGGGAAGAACTATTGAGTGAGAGGTTTGAGGGAGACTCAACCATTCCGAGTGCTGACATAGGCGAAGATGAAGATGTTATTATCTTGGCTGATCGCTTAGGTTACTTTGGTTCATGGCCAAAGTAGACTAGCTAGCTGCACTTCTTTTGCATTGCTCTCTCTCTCTCTCTCTCTCTCTCTCTCTCTCCTCCCCTCTTCAGTTTTCACTGCCTCATTGACCATTACTTTCAAAACAAGGCTAAAACCTTCAACAGTTGTTTTCATAGTCTCGCATTTTGTCTCTTGGGTCTCTCTTCATGTGCCATTAGGCCATAACTTTCTTCTGAATTTCTTGGTATTGACAGGATAGGGGGACTAGCAGCGGTTATTTGTGGAAAAGAAACCATCTTTGTTTCTGGTGTTTCTAACCCAGCACATGATAATTGATTGCCTCCTTTTCATCTTCTAATAATTTCCTCTCTTCTTTCTTTATCCTGGTTTAGGTTGCAGGCATTGGTCGGACAGAATTCGGTAACTATGATCGTTATTTATCGCAAGGTTGTTGTTTATTAATCTATGAAAACCACTGTTCTATGTACCATAAATAAAATAATTATCTATCTCTTGCCTGTTGTAATCTATTTATGGCCTCTCTTAAATGAAGGTAGATTGTTGAGAAACTGTTGAACTTGAAAAGGAGTTGCTGCAAAAGCTCCAAGAAACCCTAACACATGTTGTTTTTGGGTCCAAGTGACTGCATTGGTAGTTTGTCAGTATGATATTTTCTGTTACTGAAATGTTGTTTTAATTAGTTAGATGTAAAGAGAGCTAGGTAGCAATGAACTTCATAATGTTACGTTTGTACCGTGTAGATTGTAGATTGGTTCATGTCGGATACGGTTCTCTTCTCAGTCACTTCATCAGCTGTGGACTCTCAAAAACTGGTACATTATGCTCTTTAAAACATCACCTTTAAAATGTGTTCCTTACCCCATTGGTGTCTTACAGATGAAGACAGGATACAAGTACGAAAGTACTTCTACGAAAAGCACGAATTTGATCAGTTTGTAAGACTAATGCAACTTTGATCTGAAAGATTTTGTAATGTAGATGGCAGTGTCATCTCAACAGTTCAAGTATATTCTTGTAACATCCTGACTCTAACACATAAATACCAGACTAACATTTTGACAGGGAATCTGAAGTTTGGATTGCTTAAGAAGGATAGAAAGTTAAGTTCCATAACTTGTACTTGAAAGTTTCTATGGAACAAGATGGGAAGTTTGAAGTTTCTAACTTCTCCTCTGTGTTCCTATGTTAGTCCACTAGGCATGTCTCGTGGACTGATCACCCTTAAAGCACGAAAATAAAAGCTTTTGCGCTCGATTTTTATTTTTGCTGGAAGGAGAAATAAAGTATTTTCCTGCTCTTGAAATTCCGAGGCCATCACCAATTCATGAGATCTACATGCTTTCTCTAGTGCATGTCTAAGACTTCTTAGAAATGCTAAAAGTGTCTTTTGATGATCAAAGACATTTCTGACTACGTTGTACATAAAAACTTAAAGAGGTATTTTTTTGGTCTTGATAACACTTTGAGTGAGAGTGAGTCAAGTGTATTTTATAAAAAGCGGTAAAGCTGTGGGTGCTTTGTTCTATTTTCAAGTTTGGTGAAATACATTAAGTGTGGACTACACGTGAAAAGTGAGCAAACACAATCTTAAACGAAAAACTTACAAAATTGAGCAATTAGACCATCCTCAACCCATAAATACTAAACCCAACGTCCTTCTTCCCCGTAAGATGCAGTCTTTTTCACCTTCTACATACTCTCTTAGTTTTAATATGTTACAATCTAATAACCAAAAGTGTGCAAAAATCATTTTCCATTCCTCAAGCACTTACTCTAACACTATGTTTGGATGAAGAAATTGAAGATCAGTAATGAATTTTCAAAATAACAAAAATTGAAATGACGGGATTTTATTTTCTAAAATTTGTGAATTTTCTTGTTTGGTTAACCTAACTATGGAATTGAATACATAATTTGTTATATTTAAATGCTCAATCACAAAAATTGATAAATGATGCCTATTTACATGAAATTTAAACTTGGGAATTGGAGGTCCCAAATTCCAAGTTTTTTTTTTCCACGCGAAAATTCTAAATTTTTATGGTCAATTTATAAATTCTGACTTTTACCCGAATTCTAAGCTTATTTCCTTCATCCAAATATAGTGTAAAGCCTTCCATAAGATACAACTCCAATGGTATTATTGTCACTTCACCTTGGTTTCTCCATTTTTTTTTTCTCTCCTTTCATTGTTGAGGGGCCAACCATTAATTTCACAAAGGATGTCCATCACTCAAGCCCATGAATGATCGTTTGGGCCTGTAATTCAGTGAAGTTTCAGCCCATACTGTTAGGCCCAGAAATTCTTAGCGTTCTTGGGGCTTGAGGTCATCAATTGTCAGATTTCAGTGTGTCTGGAATTTTAGGCATATCCCATATTCTGTTGGAGGCAAATCATGTAGGGCACGGCATTAGCTGTTATATGAGCAAGTCAGAAGTCAAAAATATGAGATACTTGCAAGTCTGGAGAAGATTAGTGAAATGCAAGCATGTAAATTTATGGATTTCTTCTCAACAGAAAAAAGAGTGTTAGAGGATTAAATCCAATATAATACATTGTTAAATATAATAAGTCATTTCATGTTCACTCCAAAACATGAATGAGTACTTTAGGGTTAATTTACTTGTTAGTCTGTTAGACCGACTCATAAATTATTAATTTATGTGTTATAAGTTTATTTTTTAGGGTTGCCTAATATATTTTTATTGTCTTACATGTCTTTCAATTTTGGGATCGTTCATGCTGGGAAGTTTGTTCCTGGTTACTCTCAGGGTTTTGACACTCTATCATTTCTGCTATGGGATCGACCAATCCCTAGCAAGATGCGTACTATTCTTCCTGTGCATTGGTCTCATATATACTTGGTTTCCTTGGATTAAACTTACTACCAATGGTTTGTCTAAAGGAAGTCCTGGTTCTGCTGCTTGTGGAGAAGTTTTTAGGGATTGCCATGGTCAACTTCTTGGTGGTTTCTACCACGGGATTGGTCATCACAAATAATTATTGGCAATTATTATTGGTGTAGAGTTTGCATATCAATGGAGTTGGCTTTACCTTTGATTGGAAAGTGGCTCTTCTAGTGTTATTTCTGCTCTTCAATCGCCTGATTATGATTATCATTGGCCTCTTCCTATGCAATGGTCTACTTGCTTAGACCACATTTGGAAGATGACTCCTCCCACATATATCACGAAGAAAATGATGTTACGAATAATTTTACTAATATGGGTTTGTCTTCTCCAACTTTGGTATGGCATGATTCCCCTCTGTTAGCGGCTCGTGCTACTTTGTATTCAGACTATGTTGACTTTCCTGGTTTCTGCTTCAAATTAATGTGCATCTCGGCATATAAGTTTGTCTCACTTTGTTTTTTAATCATGTGATGTTGCTTGATCTATTTGCAGGTTTAGACCCTTAGGTTTGGATATGTAGAGGGTTAGGTTTCATGTCCCCCAACCCCCACCAACTAGGTGTAACTTCTTTTTTCGTTATCAATAAAAATTTCTTCATACCGTTGAAGTTTTCTTAAAAAAAAAAAGAGAAAAGAAAAGAAAAGAATTCACATGCTATAACATTGATGGATATGGAGTAACTAAATAGATACAATATAAAAAAATATATATATATATATATATATATTAAATAAATGCATGTTTTATAACATGAATAAATCGATAACACTGTCTAACAATTACACCGAAAAATTAGGGTTTAGTGAATCACTGATAAATTAGTTCGTCTAATTAAGATTGGATTGCTTAGCAGAGAAAGTAAAGTGTCATGTCAAATACACACACAAACATTTATATTATATTGAATAAGAATAAGATAGAGATATATAAGGCGTTCCTGCCAAAACTTGCATGTGAGAGTGAGAATCTGGTAACAGAAAGAACCCGTGAGCAAGGAATGGCCCCCACGGTGTTTCCTTTCTTCCCCATTCATCAAAATTTGCCTTCTCTCTGCATGCAATGCAGAACAGAACAAAGTTATATAAAATAAATTCAAATTAGAATCAGCAAGATGATATATGATGAGCAACTCATATAAAATGAGTTATGAATTTACAGTTATGTTCGACTTAATTTAACAATACAATGTCAAGTGATAAGAAACTTATATATAACGTTGTTTTATTTGAACGTAAGATCACCATAGCAGTAAACTTATTTTATGTAAGTTCTTCTTCACAAGATATTGAGATTGCTATCTATCAGAATTTTATGTTTAATTCAATTACTTGAAAGGGTAGTTTTTTTACGTCTCCACGCTTCTAGGGTTTCTGATTTCTCAAACTTGGCTCATTGCTTGTTATAAGTTCCATATCAATCAATAGTAGTTTTATGCTTAATTAGCAAAATCCCAATTTTAATTGAAGGGTTGTCCATATACTCTTTAGATGAAATAAATAATTAATTTTTCCTATGTTGGTAATTACCTTGACATGACAATTACTGAGTTATGTTTCTCTTACTTCTCTCAACTAGGGGAGACTCAAGGTCTCATTATATAATGAGTTTATAAGACGAGAGCTGTATACAAAAAGAGATATTCTTAATTGTATATATGAAAAGTAAAATAAAAAGTGTTTCAAACTTTAACAGTATATTATCAGAGACTAAGACTAAACCCCATGAAACATTTTAATTTGTTAATTGATAAATTGCCACCAACTTCCAGAAGCCTAGCTGACCCTAAGGAAAAAAATTTGACCTGTATTTGTCGATCTCCCCTATTTGTCAAATGTCCAATTTTAATTTTCTGTTAAAACCAAGTTCAGAAACAGTAAGATCACAATCAACCCAAACACTAAACAACAACAAGGAGACCTCAAAAGCCAGAACACAGCCAAAGGCAAGGATCTTCAGTTAGCACCAAAACGATTAGATCAGTTCCTATTTCCCCCACCCCCTATAGTTTTACACAAACTTTGGTTAACTTGGTGAGGAGGGAAACTGGTAGGGAAAATAATTTTGGGCAATGTGTTTACAGAGAATAGTGCCTTCTTTTTATCTAGGTTAAGAATTTTGCCTTCTTAGGTTATGATGATGTTACAGTGCTATACTGAAATGGCTTCTTCTTTTTTCCCCAACTTTGGTTATGATTTATTAAATTTTTTTATCTTTATGTTTGTTTGTTTTTTTTTCAGCCAATTGTACATCGCACTGTTTTTTCCTAAAGGTGTTAATCAGTGAAGCATAAATCTCATCTTATCCCAAAAGAAAAGAACATGAATCTCACTAAAAAGGCCCTGCATATTCAAAAGATTTAAAGATCAAAAGAAAACCCACATAGGATTCCAATTTCCAAAGGATTTATATGTGCAAAAAAAAATTAGAACAACGTGCAGTTCACAAATGGGTCCTATGCCCTACACGCCTGGGGCTTAAGGGATTGGTTTTGCATGGTTGCTGCCCATGTTATTTAAGACACGCATGGCTTCAAAAGGAAGAGAATCCCTTGCCAAGGACACTTTTAACCATGTGTATTGTAAATGTACAGGCAAAGGGTTTGCTGATTTTGGTAAAATGAAGGGGACAGAATGGGCAATTTGCTTGTGGCTTTAGATTTGGGTTTGGAATAAAGAAAGTTATAAGAGAAAAAGAGAAAAGAAGGTAGAGAGGGCCTTCTAAATTCCCCTCTGGTGGGGTTTGCTTGGGCACTTTTATATACACTAGGATCTGAGAGAATATTAACAAAAGAAAGACACACAAATGGGCAAGAAAATTCCTCAACTATATAATGACCACCAACAATTGAGTTGAATCAAATTCTGAACCCCCCAAATAATTCAATCACAACTTTGATCGAGTAATTGCATGTAGAAAAGGTAGTGTGTTTAAATCAACAAAAATCATTATATTTCTAAATAATTATATGTGGTTTCAATAATAAACAATAGTATTGGCGCTTTCTAATATCTCAATTTAATAATCAGATCTGGCATTTGCTAAATATTGTCAATCAAGTTTGTCACTTCATGCATGCTCTGCACTACCAGTCTTCATCTCTTCATATTGTAAAATGCATTTTATAATATCAAAATAATTCTCTTGGCCTTGGCCTAAACATCAGTTTGGGACGATAACCACCTTCTTTGCATATATACTGATTGAGCTAGTTGTCCCAATAACAAACAAGCACAATAATGTGTAAAGTATTCAATTAAAGAGCAGATACCCTAAAGAGAACTAAAATGGCAACCCATAACCAATGTTTAGACTCTTCTTAACCAAACTATTCTTATTAGCACTTATAATATTAGGAAAGGGATCGATTTGGGAAATTGGGAGGAATGATTGAATAAAGGTAAAATAAAGGTAATCAACTATTCAATAGATGATACATTAATTAAGTCTAGTTTTAATGCTTTGTAATGTGCATAATAATAATATATATAATGTGGCATTGTATATACTGTAGATATAGTTGTAGTCAGTCAGTGGATCAATCATGGTAGTAGTGGGGTATTATAAAATACAAAAAATAAAGTTGAGAAAGGTCGGTCCATGCATCTCTATACATCTCTTTGCCTTTTCACCACCCTTGTCCCTTGCTTTGACAAAGCTTTTTAAGCTGCTTCTTATTCTCCTATAAGTCTTCCTGTAAACAAATATATCCCTCCTTTCAATATTCAAATCAAGGTCCTTTCGGGGTTTGGGTGTTTTATTACAGCAACAAAGGAAAAGACAGAAAGTGCCAGCGTCATACTTCCAAAAGAAAAACTAGCATTACTAAAAAATTAACTCATAAAAAAGATAGTGAGAAACAGATAAAAAAAATTACCCAAAATATTTTGAGTGGATTTGTGGTTCTTCCTCGTCTTTGCCTTGGCTGACTTCCTTTGCAGAATTTCTAGCTTTTTCCCTAGCTAGCTATAGAGTTTTTCCTCTACTTGTGTGTTATTTCTTTTTCAATAAATTAGACACGTAAAATTAATATATTTGCTTATTACACATCAATATTCAATATGCAAGTGGATTTTATATAAGGAATTTTAACGAAACATTATTAGTATTGTTCACTTTTAATGTTAAAAACATTTTTACCTTTAAAAGTCATTCCTGATAATATTCACTTACACCTTTATTTTGTCATTTTGATTAAAACTAAAATTTTTAAAGACTTTTCATTAGTTTTTCCTTTTATATATCATTTGTGTCGGTTCTGCATGTTTAATAATACTATTCTTTTTTTTTATCTAATACAAAAAATGAAAAGATAAGCAATATTAGTTCTTCGGAGTAAAACAATATAAAACACAGAGTGTCTCCTCTCAAACCAACTATAAACGAAGAAACCTACACTCTCTCAGAGTCTACCACCCTTTGGGCCCTCCTCTATTTTAAAATAGGGTAACGCTAGAAAGATCAAATTTTTAAATCAAATTTTTATAAAACAAATGATATGATTGTTAATGATTTAATTATTACTTAAGTGTTGATTAACATACTTATTTTCTATTAGTGACACATCGTTTAGTTTGAAATTTTAATTTAAAAATTTAATCTCCCTAACATTATACTTTAAAATAACACCATCCTTTCTTTTTCATCTTTTTTAAAATTTTATTTTATTCCAAGAAAATTTAGTTTGACAAAAAAAAAAAAATTAGAAATTTCCAAATTTTCCTACCCCGACCCTTGTTTTCCTTAGTCTCCCACTATAATCATCACACTACTGCAGAAGTAGTACTGTACACTATAAGCCTACAACAACCAGCTGCTTCTGAGTGGTACTGAAATATCCTCTTCATAATTTCCCGTCACTCTCTAACTTCAAATTTATAGAATCATATAAAGAAAAAAAAAAGGAGGTCGTTGCTAGAGAGAGAGAGAGAGAGAGAGAGAGAGAGAATTGTCTGTATTCTTTCCATGTTGGATTTGCATGGACAACAGCTCTTGATGATGATCTCTGAGAGAGAGAGAGAGAGAGAGAGAAAGAGAGAGGTTTGTATTGGTGGTGTTGCAGAGTTGCTCAGCGAAGCAATCCATGCCATGGCCTAGTTCTCCTAGCTAAGATAGTGACTTGGAGGGGAGATCGAATAACCCATCATCATCAGAATCAGCATCATCACTACTTCACGAGATTGAAAATATTTATAATTTTCTTTTTGCTTTTTGCCTCCTAAAAAATGAATATTTTTTATTCATTTCCCTGCTAATTGTGTGTTCAAAGACGCAAATAAAAAGTGAAGAGTAATGCTATTTATATGATATTTTTGTACCAAATTTTCATAACATTTTAGATGGTATTTGATGTGGATAGCCACATCATTTGAATTAATCAGATTTTTAAATTTAGTTCATTATTTAATAAATTAATAATTAAGAAAAACTAGTTAATTAAATAATGATTGTGATATACAAAAAGTCTTTCTCTTTCATTTCCTTGGGTTTTGAAAAATTTTCAAATGATATAGATGTCTACATCAAATGTCACCTAAGATGATATAGAAATGTGGTATAAAAATAGGAGGCAGATTCTCTGCCCTCCCATTTCTCGTGCCCTCTTGTTTTGTGTAGTCACGATTAAGCCACGTCAACATTTTATATTGTTTTTTTTATAGAGATAATAAGAGAAAAATGAATTGTAATATAAAATATTAACGTGACTTAATCGTGACCACACAAACAAAAGGGTACGAAAAGTAGGAGGGCAAAAAATCTGTCTCTATAAAAATATGATATGAATAGGATTACTCAAAAGTGAATGCTAAAGTGTAACAGAAGAAGTTCTCTCAGATTCTCTTATATCTAAAGATCTCTCTCTCTCTCTCTCTCTCTCTCTCTCTCTCAGTCTCATCTCTCAGCTTATCCAGCTAGCTTTAATTTGTTTTTTTCTCTCTTTGGAGTTTTCCTTAGTCCAAAGAAGCTTGGACGCTAACCATGTTTCCTATCTCCATGTCCAATTCAACTTCTTTGTCTGAGGAAGGTAATAGTGTTTCTTCAGACTTTGCTGCTGCCTTAAACCCTCTTCTCCTGTCCACCAATATTTCTCCTCATCAGTATGATCAGCCACCTAACAAAATAAAAAAGAAAAGAAGCCTCCCCGGAAACCCAGGTATGTAATAATCTCTGGTTGATTGATTCCAGGAATTCTAGGATTTGACTTTTGTCGATCATTTTACCGGTGTTTTCAGTCGTGCCACAGTAACTTAGAGACTCTTTAATTATTTTCATTTTTTAATACAAACGATATTATCCACTAAATTCATTCATATGACTATGGGGAGAGAGACTCGAAATTGCAGAGGAAAGCAGAGCTCTAGCCAACTTGACTACTTTTAGATTAAACTAATATCTTTGTTTCATGTGTTCCAGACCCAGATGCTGAAGTGATTGCATTATCCCCCAAAACCCTACTTGCCACAAACAGATTTGTGTGTGAGATTTGCAACAAGGGTTTTCAGAGAGATCAGAACCTTCAGCTTCATAGGAGAGGCCACAACCTTCCATGGAAGCTGAAGCAAAGGAACAGCCAGGATCAGATCAGAAAGAGAGCCTATGTATGCCCTGAGCCCTCATGTGTTCATCACCACCCTTCAAGAGCACTTGGTGACCTCACGGGGATCAAAAAGCACTTTTGCAGGAAGCATGGGGAGAAGAAGTGGAAGTGTGACAAGTGCTCCAAGATCTATGCTGTTCAATCTGATTGGAAGGCTCACTCCAAAACCTGTGGTACAAGAGAATATAGATGTGACTGTGGAACCCTTTTCTCCAGGTGATTGATTAATTTCCCTTTCTTTTCTTTAAACCTTCAAAGTAATTATAAATTGTGTTTTTTCTTGAATTTTCATGAGTTTGGAACCCAATGTGATTCATACAAAACATTGGCCTTTTGTTTAAATTGGGAAGTCTCGTGTGATAATTAATTACTAAGACATCGTATAATTGTTTTTCCATGGGCTTTTTTTTTTTTTTTTTTTTTGAAGGTTGTTTTTACACAAGAATAGTAATAAATTATGCCTGGAATATATATATCTGAAGGTTTGAATGCAGTGTGGCAGGTTGCACCAAAATGTACACCATTAATATAAGCGACTGTTTCCTGAAACCTGCCTTCTGTAGATAGTGCTCGTGCTTGAAAATTTAAATATGTAAACTTTTTTATAAAAAGAACAAAAAATATGTAACCTTTTTGGTTTATATATGTTGTGTCCTCAAGTTCTTAGATGAAAATAATCCCGCTAGTTTTTTGAGATGGAGTTCGTGTATTCTTCCTTTCTTTCCCTTCTGGCATTTTTGCAATGGAGTGTCTGCATATGGTCTTGAAAACAATGATGGAGAACCTAAGAAAAAGTTAAAGAAGTTCAATTACTTTTGGGATATATTTCATGGTTGGGGAAAACCCGTGACCTTTTGTTTTATTTTTATTTTTCATTGTTTTTTCCATTTAAGCATCAAGCGTGTGGTATATATCAATTACTTGCAGAAGGCCGAGAGTCATCATGAAAACTGATGAATCTGCAAAGAATATCTGCTGCTGTCCTCCTTCCTCAGTAGCTTTCTTTTTCCTCATCAATGTGATATCTGATATCCTGAGTTTTGTGTCTTAGTTTCATGCACGAGTCCCTTTTTTCAACTATTTTTTTTGGGTCTTCGTAATTCTATCCAGATTTCCATTTATCCATGCTTAATTATGTTTGCATGCAATACTAAACCCATCATCGAAGTATGGCATGTATAATTATATTTTTCTTTGGATTTTTGACGTTTTAGTTTTAGGATGTAGGATTATCTATCCTCCAATTTCCATCTCCTTCTCTTTTCTCCTCTCATATATTGTTTTTTGTCTTATTGTCTGTATAAAAGAAAATTAATATTAGATGTTGATGTAGCTAAATCGTAACCGTTCAAATAGAAAAAAAGAAAAGGGGAGAGAATCCTTCTTCTAGTTTTAGTCCCTGTGATAATCTTATTCACAATTCCACATGCAAGTGTAGTATACATGTCCCAACAACCTTTTCGTTGTCTTCCACCTATGCACAGGAGTGACATTAAACAAATGTAAAGACATATTTGCACCATCTATGAACAATGTGCTTCTATTCTTTGCATGTGTGGCTTTGATCTTCCTTTTGTTTTATTAAATCCCTCCATATATTTTGACTCTCATCATTTCACTTTTTAATTCAAAACGAATTTATAGTTCAATTAAAGTACATTAGTTTCTGATGATCTGTTATAACTTATGAACTTTGTGATACAACTAAAAGTTAACAGGTTTTGAGTTCAATCGTCTTTGATTAGACCAGCGTATCATATACATTTTATCCTAATACATTATGTTATATAGTTTTTTAAACTCTCATAACAATTGAAACTTGCTCCTTTGGCTTGTGATCAAACATTTTATAGGAAGGATAGCTTCATAACTCACAGGGCGTTCTGTGATGCTTTGGCTGAAGAAAGTGCGAGACTCTCAGCAAACCAATTTGCTACAGCCGCCATCACCACCGCCACAATTACACCTCAAATCTCCCTCTTCCCTTTTCCAACCCACGGACAACAACACTTCACAAACCCAAACCCACCATTGCCACCCTTCACTACCATCTCCCTCACCCAATGGGACCCCCCACAACCTCATCAAAACCCTAACCCTAGCCCGAATCCCACCCAAAACTCCCCACTCCATCACCTCATCAAGCCCGAATCTCATCACCATTTCCCACCACCACCACAACAACTCTACAAGGGTTTAATCATCTCACCCTTCCAAAACCTCCATGTCAGCACACAACCCAACTCCAACCCCACTACGTCATCTACCCACCTTTCAGCTACTGCACTCCTCCAGAAGGCTGCAACCGTTGGTGCAGCAGTAGCCTCTGGAGCCCAACAGGGACAGTCAGCGGGCTTGACCGTGGGAGAGTTTGGGACCGCGAGCCACATGATATCCACAGAGTATCTAGGCGGGTTCGGGTCCGGAGAGCTCGCGACATGGCGCAAGACTGACAGTCTGACAAGAGACTTTCTAGGTCTGAACGGGGATGGCACGGGGCATGATAATAATAACGTTCGCGGTGTTCACGTCAAGGACATGCTAACGTACGCCGGTGGCGTAGGGTTCCATCAGCCGCCGTACGAGCGTCTTCGTGGCCATGATTCGCTGCTGAAGCCCCAGGGTTTCGGGTTCGCTGAGACTACTACTGCTTCGGAAACGTGGGGAGACTGTTGACCGTTCGGGCAGAAATTTGACCGCAAGGGTAAGAAGGTAATTTGGAGTTCTATTATGACGGAAATAGCCCTGCATTCTCTGTCCCGGAAACCGAAAAATGTCGAAATTAAAATGAAGGCCTCTTGAGAATACCTTCATTGTGTAATTGCACTACTTTCCCTCTAGATTATCACACTTAGTTCTATCTTCTTGGAGACTTATAATTTCTGCATTTTGTTACTTTATATTTCTTAAAATTTGTTTGTTATAGATGACTTAATTAATGGTTTTCTTTATTTTCTTATTTTCGTGGGGACCTTCGATGATAAAAACAAAAAAGCAAAAAACCCTAAATATGAAAAGTACGTGCCCATAAGTTTTGAGAAAATTACATGGGGGACAAAGAATGCATGCAGTGTGCCAGTACTACGTGCATCATTGCATGCACTGAAATTCCCATTGAGCCCTTGTAATATTTACCCACTCACTACAAGTAAATGACCAAAATAAAAATAAAAGACAATAAACGAGTGCAAAATTAAGAAGAGACGAAATGTAAGGAAGAAATGAAGTATACATGTCGATAGAGGGCCATAGAAATTGACGTATGTACCCTTCGACACTTCAAGTCGACCCACAACAACGTTGACACTTCGACAGTGGTAGTCCCGTATGCATGCATATATCATTTGATTGGAGTAGGGTTCTCTCCCCTCTTTTTTTTCCCTCCTCTTCCCTCCCCTCCTATTTGAATGGTTACTGTTAAGCCACGTCAAACGCTTATATTAATTTTTTATAGAAAGAGAAAGACAAAATAGAAAATGTGAGAAGAGGAGATGGAAAGAGGAGAAGAGAGAATCCTAGTCCCATTTGATTAACCATAGACAGAGATGGAAATTCAAACTTTAAACTTCTTTAAACATATAAGAGAAATTCTACTGAAGTAAGAGCGACTATACATTGTTCATTGTTCTGGGAAGCTTGTCGGTCGGAGTTTATTCATGGCTTTTCTTGTGAGTCTGTGACTGCCCCCACTGCATATAGCCTTGTATATTAATATCGTGAACTGGCTTGAATAATATATAGCTTCAATAGGCCAATTAGTCAAGCAATGAATTATTGAATTTAACAAGTTGGTAAAGTACGTAGATCCGTGAATCTCTAGAGAAATCTAGAACTAATAATTATCGTCCGACAAATGCATAAACAAGTGGAAGTTGTTCAAAACAATTAAACAAATAAATAATATTCCATGAAGATAATTTTAAGACGTCAAATCATTTGATCCATTCCATATATGTGATGAATTTTATCATGATTTATGGAGTGTGGATTTTGGACCAATGGGAACAATTGGGAGATGAATTTCATGTATCTTTTTTAATTTTTCACACATTTCTTTTTGTTTTGATCGTTGGGTTGAATAAATCAAACGAAAACAACGAATGTGATTAAACATGAGTATGTGAGAGGCAAAAAAGAGTATGTGTTTACCATTTCCATATAAATAATTGAGATTTTCTTTTCTTTTTGAAAAAGCCTAATGGAGAATTTGAAGAGCTTTTTAAAGACACTTTTTTTTTGGGGTTTTGGATTAGTGAAAAATTGGGGCATTGCAAAGAAACATAGCCTTTTCTAAAGAGAGATAAGTGAGCCCTAGACTGTATAACCTGTTGTAAGCGTGAGTAGAGAAAGGCAAGCTGGGTGTGACGGTGTGTGTGAATCTGTGCTGGGTGTGGTGGTGGTCCGGGGACATGAATATATACTAGCTATAGCTAGTGGTACAATAAACCCAGCTAAAGAGAAAAGAAAAGAGACACTAATTAGCAGCAGATGAACAAAAAGAAATGAAAGTTTGTAAAATGTCAACGGTTATGAAAAAGATGCTAAGCTCGATAGAACTTTGAAAATAATTCTGAGTCTTCTTTTTTAGGTGACGGACTTGCTCTTTATTAATTTCTGTGCAACATCCCCACAGCCTTTGATTTTGGCAGCTCAAACTTGCAGCAAACCCTAGCTACAGTATATATAATTGCACTAGTCATGTTTTTTGTTCATGGACCCGTTTGCTTATCGTCACATCTTGACCATTCATCCTATCATATATGTATAATCGCAGTCATGTATTTTGTACATGAACTATAGGGTTTAGGGCTTTGAATGATAAGGTCTTAATTAATCCTAAAAGAGGTGTCACTAGCTAATTGGTTTGATTTGCTTAAAATGATGAACACAGTTTGAATAAAGACCAAATAATCACATCGGATTAGGACATTGTTTGATCAAGTTCGGAAGCCCTACGCTGATTCGATAAGAGTTTCATGACGTATATTGAAGCATATGTCCTATATCGGAAACCTCATGAAGTTAATCTGTTCTTATATGGAGTGATTCTATTATTAATTACACCAAAGTATTTTGTATAAATTCTGTACATATTGAATTTCACAATAATTAAGTTAGAGACATTATCGGTATAATTAGTAGTAGGTCACTAAACTATCTCTAAAACCTGTATGTGTGATTAACAGTGGGTCACTGGTTTTCTCTCACATAAACATTCTTTCGAACATTTTTGACCAGATAAGGAATGAATATATCCTTGTTACAACTCAGTATATCCATCAAGAGAGAGAGAAAGTCCTAGGGATTAATGAAAGGAAGGTTTGGGTGGTTATGGTATATCCAAGCTTTTAGAAAGTTTTATAAATAAGTTGCAGGGTTAAGGTACAATATATACCATTTGTCTTGTAAAAGGGATTGCAACTTTTTTATCTCTTCCTCAGCTTCCACAACCAGACAAACTAAAAGCTTCTCTCTTCTCTTCTATTCCCTCTCTCCCTCTCTCTTTCTTTCTTTCTTTCTTTCTTTCTCAGCATCCTTGCATTTGTCATAGTCCACCAGGGAATCTCACCACAACAAAAACCCCTCCTTTTCCCCCTTTAATTTGTCCTTCCAACCCTAATAATTACCAAAACCCCTTTTCCATGCTTTTCCATCCTTTTAGTTTTCCCCCTTGTAGTGCAAATTTATATACAAATGAAATTAAGACTTGCATAATTTCCATGACTTCTCTAATCTTTAACTTCCATGTTTTTTGCTTGTGCAAGAGAATAATAACTTCTTTGCAATGGGGATATATCCATTCTCTTCTTTAATTTTTCATAAATCACGTGATTCATACAGAAGGTAAAAAAAAAGGAAGAGAATGAGTATAATACGTAACGTGTGAAGAATGAAGAGAATGAGTACACTCTTGTTTCAGGTAAGTTTCGCTCGTTCAAAAATAAATGATATAGGAATCACACATTGGTACTTTTATTTTAGAAACCTGGCCCAAATGGTTGCTTTTTAAATTTTAATTGTTAAAATGATTAGTTTTTAGTATGTTATCAGTATCGGTCATTGACATGTTGTCATCAATTTGTGGTCGTTATGTCAATAATGATAATCAAGATCATTTCAGCAATTAAAATTTGATTTTTGATCATTGTAGCTAATTTTCTTTCTTTTCTTTATACAACAGTATCGGGAGATAGGATTTGTGCTAAACCAATCAATAAGGCCGTCATAATTAGATTTGAACTCGCCGTTTATGATTGTCAATAAAATCTCTCACTTACAAGTGCAAAAAATTATCACTAGTGTCAATATGGCATCAAATAGATACCCCTGCCAATTGCTTCTTGTCTGAATAAGAGAATGCCATGTAAGTTGAGGGATATTATAAAAAAAATAAAATAAAAAATAAAAAAAAGGCCTCAAAAGACTGTCCCTTAGAATTTTGTTAACCGGCCTCTATATATTTGCTTCTCTGCACTTTACGGTTTGGATGACCAGTTTATTCATGTTTTCAGCACGCTTGTGGTCCTTAACTAGTAGGTGTTCTTTTTCAACAACAATATTAGGAGAATTATTGCGAGATAGCGAAACACTGTTACTGTATATAATCAATCCACATGTCACAAGACGAGTGAATATTTATGAAGATTATACCCTTAGCTTACAACTCGCCATCCACCAATATTCCAACACTTGTACGGATTATACCAAGTTGTGGAGTTCCAGTACCACCCAATAATTTTCCAAATTAAGCTTCGTCTTGCTAGACGCCGTCGTTTTTCAAATGAGGCAACAAAGCACAAAGTTGTAGAGCGTATCTAACTACACAGAGTGTACCACCAATCATACTCTCTTACGCTTAAAGTTAGTGATGACTTGAGTTCTAGGAGCCTCCAAATGAACACTTGTAAAAGAAAAGTTCTGGTGATGAAATATGCATCGATTTGCTCCCCTCAAGATACTGCCGGGGACCAATTTCTTTACGAAGTTTCACCAGACCCCGGTTTTGGCCCCCTCCAATCCACTCCCAAATACTTATCCAATACATTCTTGTATGCCTGCAACGAAGAATACAGTAGTAAGAGTTTGGATCAATGAGTTCAGTATCCATTGAGGATTCTGAATCGTGTAAAAGTGCGTTAATTTGTTAATGAGCAGCTAGTAACATTTTACACCGTACATACAAGTTGGACAAGAATAAAGCTGCACCTCAACGAAAAGTCTACGAAGGTTGTTTAATAGGGGGAAATATGGTTGTCAAGGTGAACAGATCGAATAATTCATGAGTAGAACCTAAATTTCTCAAATGAAGCGGGATTCTGGCTGTACAACTCTAATTAAAGGGAAAATTTATACATCCAAAACAATCCAGAAGAATTGCATACATAAGCAAACTTACATGGCAATAATATTAGCATGATATGAAGTGCCAATATATTAGCGTGATAAGGTTCACTGCCCATCGAAAAATTTATGGTAAAATTGCAAACTAGAAATGCTAAGGTCGTGCATGCAAACAAAGCAAAGAACTCGTTACGAACTTATGATCCTTGTTCCCTGCCCAGCTCTAGTCAAGACTAGATAATCTTAACAAATATAGGGTAACAGCACAGTGGCCGTCTCCACCGGGAACCACGTGAATTGACTGTAGCAGTCTATGAGATCAAGACTAACTAATTTTTTTACCAATCACAAATTTGTACCGTCTTTTGCAACTCATACATGCCTGGCTATTATTATGATCTTTAACAGCAAACCTCTAGGTTAATCATTTTTTCATGGTAGTTCATACCGTCATACCAAAGAGATATTTTTCTTAGTACTTCATATGGTAGATGAGCCCATGAACATCTTATTTCCGGAATTGTCCCAGACCCAATTTATTCTTACGAACATTATTGAGTACCCATCTACCTAACATGAAGATATGGGAACAAATCAAGAATAATCTCCTTGCACATTTACACCACAATTTGACACCAGAAATATATGTTATCATGAGTGCCAGAAGACACGTTTCAACAAGAGCACAGCATTACCTGGAGTGCAAACAATTCTTTCCCCTTCAAAATTGCATCCATTGCTGCAAATTGGTCGTCAAATGCCCCATAGAAAGCCTGGTAAAATCTGTCCCTGAAATGATAAATAAGGATAGAAGGTTGTAGGTGAATACAGGTCCTTACCTTTTTTTACTAAAGAATTAATGACAAATTAGCATTTACCGTTCTTCCTTAGTGATCTGTTGATCCATTCTATCAAATTTACGAGTAAGTACTTCGGCTCCCACTGGTGAAAGCAAGTGCAGTATTAAAGCCTCCAAAGTTCTTGGGAAATTTTCCTGCAAAAGATTATATAGCAGTTGCACAAAAGGATGAGATTTTTATTTAAAAAAAAAAAAACAAAATAATAGTGGTCGGTCATTTGATTTACTAATATATAGTTATCCCAAAGTGGCTCCCCTCACCACCTTGCCATGAAGGCATTACTAAATGGGATTACTAAATGGTATGAGACTCACTAAAATTATAGAGCGTAAGAGGATTAAAAGACAAACACGAAGAGGGGAGTATCCTGCCCAGCTGCATTCTCGTAAAGAAATACAGAAACAAGATAAAAGCAGTCAAGCCTTCAAACATACCGGATTTAATGAAAGGAGAAACTATCAAGGATCACTTTTCCTTAGATGGGGCAATTTTCACTGGTAAAAGCATAGAAACACAATTATAAACTACAAGGAACCAGAATAGTAGGCAAAAACAGGGAATAAAGATGGTCCTTTGAATCTAAAAGAAATGAAGCTCCTCTAGATGACAAATTTCCTCTATACAAGTAAGATAACCTGCTTGCAATTAAGCTGTTACTGGCTGGCATGGAAGACGCACCAAACATTAACAGAAAGACTGATTTATCACTTTCCTTTCCTAGTAACGAACAACTCTCATGAGCCAAGAGTAGAGTCACCTATAATAGTCTACGAGTTTAAGTTTTATAGTGAAAGTAAAAATGTTCAAACTCACCACCATGGCAAGAAATACATTTTTCAAAGTGATGGGATGAAGAGTCCAAAAAATTTTAGCAACTGGATCATCTTCCAAGCCAAACAAACTCGGTCTCACGACTTTGATGCATTCATCTTTCACACTAGCTGCAGGAGCAGTTGTTGAAGCAGATTGCACTGGTTGTCTTTGCTCAGCAGCATTAATATGACCATGAACTAAAGAAACAAGTTCATGAAGAGCAAGGATGGCAAGGGGTTCCAGTGCATGTGACATAAATCTTTGTTCTACTTCCTTCCCTTTAAGATCGTTTCCCTCACATGCCTGATCCAAACCGTTGTCATTGTGATCTGGGAATCATATCAAGTTAGGGATGTCAGTAAACAGAGAATTTACAGGGCCATAAAGATTCACTACAAGTTTCTTTCACCAAGTAATCTTAATACATGATGATCAGCACTGAGCTCATAGAAACTGACTTATCTGTCCTTTTTTAAGCACTATACCAGTATGCCTGTTCATGTTCTCCATTTGAGCTAAAGAAGCTATAGGCAGCACTTGGTCCTGTCCTAAAGTAAAAAATTGAAAAAATAAAAATACTCATAGTGCTCAATTGAAAACTTCTGATTCAAATATATAAAAGGGTGGAAGAAAACGCAGTAGATTTGACCACCAAGTTTTCAAATAAGATAAACATAAAACAATATAGAACCATATGTTTACTTATATGTTTCCATATTATAACTTGTTATTATGAAAATATACGCACAAATATAAGGATGTCTACCTCTGTGTGTTTGCGTGTGTGTGTGTGTGTGTGTGTGTGTGTGTGAGAGAGAGAGAGAGGTACGTACCATTTCTCTATCTGTCAGTCTTTTAATACAGATTGGATAAGTAAATGGTGCATGAGAGAGAAACAAAATCAGGTTAGTTTGTTCCGGAAATGCTTTGCTTACTAACTAAAAAGGAAACAATACCACAAACCTTCTTAATATTATGCGCAGATAATATGCATCCATGTGTTCTGACATGTTTAACGTTACATTGGACCGCCACCAAAAGTTCACGGCAATGGTCAGATCATCACTGTCCACCTGGTGGAACCTGTAGCAAAAATCAATAACCACTATAAATAAAAAGGTTGCGCTAAAATCATATATTATCAGAAGACAAAAAGACTCCTAATGAACACTAATGGATATTAAATCTTACCAGCCTTCAGGAATGAAAAGTGCGTCGCCTGCCTGAAGAATAACCTTCTGAGAGTGCTCCATTAAACATTGTGCTCTTGGATAATTTGAAAAGTTTGGGTTCTCTAAGGGAACAGAACTGCCAAGTGGGCGTAAATTATAAGATTGAAAGACTGCAATTCATTATCTTTGTCGATAGCACAATAGATACAAATAACTAATACAAGCATAAAATTTTCATAATTAAATAATTATAAAAGTTAATTTAATTTGAATTCATATTATTAATACAAGTACTGTACCTATGATTTGATGCCTCCCCATATATTGGCATAGGGTATAACATAGGACTTGCTGAAGGAGGCCATAAAACCACTGTGAAAGATGCAAGCTTCTATCAGACAAATCAGAAAGAAAAACTCTATTTAGACATATTTTACATACAAACATAGTTGGGACCACTGAACAAAGTTCAGTTCTAACTTCACTCCAAGTTGTTATACAAATCAAATCACCCTTAAATTGGTGGCCCTCCAAGAATAAAACTAAAAAATTCACCTTTGCAGGAATGCAAGTTAACAATAAAAGATAAAACCATTTCACTTTCTTGGCAGCTAATCATTCAGTGATATTGAGGACCGGTAACATGAAACCTATCTAACCACTCTGTAGTTGGACAAAGCATTATGCACTCAGAGGGCCAGAGAAAATGATTCGACCTTGTTTGCAGCCAGAGACTACACAGAGAAGGTTATGGTGTGGATCATAGTGAGTGCTTGATCTAGCTTGAGCATTGTTCATCCACAGGTTGATAGCAACTAGTACTTTATCCTCCAAAAATGCAGGCTACAAAAAACAAGAAGTGATTATTGGAAATCAAGGATGAGAAAAAAGGGAGTGGAATGTTGTACGATAAACAACAACTGCAACAAGAAATTCACGAACCGTTTGGATGTCCTCCCTCAAAGATCCCAGTTGAACCCTCTCTTCAGTTTCAGTATTGATTATTGGGACCTGAATTACACATAATAAAAGTTACTTCCCAAACATGTGACCCTTCAAAGAAAACTAATAAGTCTAACATATTAAATAAAGTATATCCGAATAATGACTAATCAAGCCATTAACAACATTAAAGAGAATACAATATATTATATCCATTATCTTAAAGCCCTTGAAGGTTAAACCTGTGCTAAATAGATTTGGTGAGGAGCATCCTCATAGGGCTTACTGTCATACTCAGATGAAGCGTCCGGTAGCCCATGCCGATCTGATTTAACACAGGAACCATCCTCCGAATGATGCATGCGTTTCTTACATAGACCAATAAATGCAGAAAATGGCAGCGGTACCTACAGACAGAAGGGGGAGTAAACTAGTTAGGGCTAATGAGATCCAGAAGAGAGTAAAATTCAAAGTTCCAGACCATTCACAATGGCCATACAAATGACTACCCTCTCATGGCTTCTAATATCACCATAGAAGACAGGTGCCGAATCAGATAGCATAGCCTCCACAACACACAATCCGACTCGTTCCTAATTTTCCATTCACAGAAACCATATCAAGCACAAACTTCAATTCAATGAAAGCAAAGAAATCGACGATCTACGCAACAATCAAATAAGTAAAGAATGAAACAAACTACTTGTTAATCCCTGAAAAACTACACAGTCACCTCCCTGAGGCCTAATTCAGTAGCAGGAACGGATTAGCACACCAAAGGCTCGGAATTCGAAACAAAACTAGAATACATTATGCATAAGGACATCATTAAGCAAGCATTTGAGGTTGATCCTACTCACATAGTGTTGCTGCTGTGGTAAATTATTAAGAACTCGAAAGAAAGCAATTTAATTTTGACCAAATAATCCCTAATTTTCTCAAATTTACAACCAATCACTACACAGAACGAAGCGGAATTGACGAGAACAAAAAGGAAAAAATAAAGGGAAAAATACCTGCAAATAATCGAGACCGCCATTACATGGATTCCAATTGGAGAAAGCTTTCCAATCTTTGACGCAGCCGCTAAAAACCTAATGAGAAGAAGAGAGCAAGAACACGCAGAGCAAGCGAGAGTGAGCAATTGCTTGTGAATTAAGGCGGGAAGAAAATTGCAGCAAATTACGTGAAACTGTAACGAACGTACGGCGGGAACGTTCGTGGATTCGATCCCAGACGCGAAGTCTCTGGCCGAAGGAACTTCTTTCAAGCTTCGAACTCGCAGAGACGACTCCATAGCTGTGCTGATTCGCTCTCCGACTCACTGAGCTAGGTGAACTAGTACAACATAGCAGGACAGGGAGAGAGAATGAATTTTTAGGTAAATTGTAGCAAGGTCCTTAACTTTACCGAAATTAGAGCAATGATTCCTAAAGTAAAAATTCACAACAATTAGTCCCTTAATTCATCAAAACGTGCATCTATAGTCATTTTCAACAATTCCGTCAAAAGTTTCGTTAAAATAAGTCACGTGTCACGCATGTGAGGCTGAATCAAGGGGCAAATATGGAAACAAAATGAAAAAAATTGTGCAATGTTCACTCAATTTTAACGTTATTGGAGCAATAGTTTCTAAACTTTTAACCAAATCAGAGAAATTGTCTTCCAATTTTAACCCAACTATAAGGATGGTCCTTCCACCATGACTTATTTTGACGAAAGTTCTGACGAAGGTGATAAAAATGATTATAATTTCACGTTTTGATGAGTTAAATAACTAATAATCATAGATTTTTAATTGATAGATCAACGCCCTAATTGGATTAAAATTGAAGAGCGATAATTTTCTCTTGAATTTAAGTCGGGAAAGATTGCACGGTGGCGCTCAATGTTTCCACTTTTGGGCAAATACCCCATAAACCAAAATCCGTTACAATTAACAACGAAAACGTCAAGCCTTGTTGCAGATAGCGAAGCTAAGCCCAAACATGTGGTGATCAAAGTCATGGAAGGAACCAACGGACTTCATAACGAATTAACCGAATTTCAAGCCTCCTTATTTTCCCACTTCAGGAACACTCTCTCTCTCTCTCTCTCGATTCAGTGCAGATCAAACATGGAGAAACAAAAGCGATTTGAGACCGCCAAGATTTGCGTGGCGTACAGTGTTCTTATGAGCTTCATCGGCAATGGCAATGTTGCTACTGCTCTTTCAATCACCGTGATGGAGTTGGAATGCGTCTTGGAGCAAGTTCTGTACGAGGGAGACACGGTCTCCGGAAACTTTGTTGCAATCGACCACGACATCTTCTGGAGCTCCGACCACCCTGGTATCGATTTCACTGTAAGCTTCTAATGCAGAACTTTTGTGTCAAATAATATAACATGTTATGTTGTCAAACTGTAAATCAAAATATGTCGAATAATTCACAAAAGATCTTTGCATTTCCATTGGCGAAAATGATTAACTTTTAAGATTTGATTTGTGTTCGAATGGGAGGAGCAAGCAAATGGGACTTATGTGTGGTTTATGCAGGCCACAGCTCCAGGAGGCACTACTGTGTTTTCGTTGAAAGGAACGTCCGGGGATAAGTTCGCATTCAAGGCACCGAAAAGCGGATTGTACAAGTTTTGTTTTCGCAATCCTGTTTCAACTCCTGAGACTGTTTCGTTCTACATTCATGTTGGCCACATCCCAAATGAGCATGGCTTAGCCAAAGACGGTTAGTTCGTCGTGTTTTTTGTTCCGTTATAACGAAATATATACAGTATGAGTTCCTTGTTTGTTTACGCCCGATTATTCATGTTGATAAAATGGGTCACATTTAACCCAAATTGATCGTTACTTGGTTGTTTTCGGTTTTTACCCCATATGTAACGGGAAAAAACCGAGGTTATATTTTCAATGCTTGTAATCTTGGTGCAGAACATATGGACCCTTTGAATATTAAGATTGCTGAGCTGAGAGAAGCACTGGAAGCTGTCACAACAGAGCAAAAGTACCTTAAAGCACGCGATGCTAGGCATCGATATAGTAAGTGTCATTTGCGCGAAAAATTTGCCTATCCCGGGATATATATATACACATGTTTATATAGCATACATCACATGAAATTGAACGCAACATTTTCTAACAACGCTTGTAATTGATCGTGTTATCTTCTGACGACGTTTTTGTGTGGTTGCAGCAAATGTTAGCACCAATAAACGAGTGATCTACTTCACACTTGCAGAGTACCTTGTGTTTGCTGGTGCAAGTGCTCTTCAAGTGTTGTACATCCGCAACCTGTTTAGCAAGTCTGTTGCCTATAACAGAGTTTGATTAGGTTTCCATTTTCCTTAATTTTCTTCTTATAAATTTATCATAGTGATTCAACGTGAAAAACTGAGTGCCGACTATCTACTACATGATGCCCCCTCCTTCTTGTTTATCCATGCTTGGGAGTGACAACGTACTACAAACTTACACAGTTATCTACTTAAATAAGGCAACATTATTTATCTTTTTTTATTGGTAACTTTAATTAAACAAGGCAACATTACTAGCCCTTCGAACACTTCTCTCTGCAATTTTCCTTTTGTTTTCATACTTAACTGATAGAATATGTGATACCAATTATAATCGAACCATATATTGCGTGTCAAAGTTCTATGAACGAGTTTTCATTTAGAGAAGTACAATAACTCATAATACAAAAACTAGGCGGTTCATTACTAATGGCACCGAGATATTTTGAAATCAGATTCTTCCACACTCAAATAGGTGTATCGAGCCTACGAATAATATGCTAGGTCGGATTTAGAAGTGGATGCAACAATCTATATATTGTAGATGGTCAAGTATTACGATAAGAGAACCTTGTAAATGTGAAACAGAGATGTTGCGTGCAACGAGTGCATGCAAGTTTTTCTCCTATCTTAGATACAAGATAACGATGCCTCAAATATTTATATTATGGATGCTAAACCAACTGCATTGTCCTGTGTACTTGTCATCTATTAGCAAATTAAGATCCAAGCATTTCCATTAGGCATGGATTAGTGGTGGTTTTATGCCATTTTCTCTTTGTTTCCATTGCGATGGGAGAATTTTAGAACACCAAAGGGGGGAGGCCCCACCCAACAGCTGAAAAATTTAAGCCCAATTCTAACCACTCTCCACTTTATTTCTTACCAGTCAGTCAACGGCCCAGATTTGTTTCATCAAGCAAATATTTTTAGTTTAGTGATATTGTATTGTGCAGGCAAAATTCCAAGGACTGAAACCTTATCAATTTAAGATTTTTTTGGAGTCCAAATATTTGATATTCCAATATCATACCATACGAATTTCCAATTTAAAAACACAAAATTAAAAGCGAAATTATTATCAAATAGTCCTAAATATTAACTATATAACAATTTCTCGAACATGTTAAAATTAAAATTACAAAAATATGAGGTTTAGTTTCACTTGGAGTGGTCTTATTTTGACCTATAAAATGACATCATACATATTAAAAAGTAGACATATTCTAGCTAGTTTCGCCTAACCAAAATAACATGTTTGAAAGAAAGAATGAAAGAAAAAAAATGTTAACTACAATGTTGCAAATCGACCTGATCATGTTGGTTAGCATCAAATTCCTTTTAGTGCGCTTGCCAAAAATAATATTGATCATAAAAATCTCACACAATGCATATTGCACTTGTAAGACATGTGATTCTCACGTACTTCTAATATTATGCATCGCTCTAGTTTGGAAATTATTACGCATTATTTGAATTTAGTCTATTGTCTCTGATTTCCCACTTTTATGTATGCAAAATCTAAATACATATATTTAGGTAAATGCAAGAAGAAGTGATAGTTTCTCCAGATCGAGATTTGGAGTCAGTGAACACAAAGATTCAGACCGTTCAAGGAAGAGAAATACATGGACTCTTGATTTGTGTGAAGTGAGCAAGTGACATGGGTTCATGGTGTCCATGGGACTTCAAATGAGTGATCCTCTAGATCTGCTGGCTCCAAACACTGAGAACCAGAAAGAAAAAAACTCAATTTAGTTTTTTCAATGGTATAATAAATAGATTTTGTTGTACCAATGTCATTATAAATGTTGATTTTTATTGTTAGCTTATAGTTGACAACAGATATTAACATTTTATTATTATTATAACAAAATAGATTTTTATGTTGCGAACGTAATATTTGCATAATCAATGTAGAATGTTGTGTGTAACATCGTTCAACTAAATTATTACCGCTACCCTTTCAAAGCTTAAGGTTTTGATGTAAATATAAAGCTTCCACCTACTCTCTGTCAACATGGTAGTAGGAGCCGTAGGACATCATGCCTTCCTTAATTAACACTTTAAATCCGATTTATTAAGTTGGAGACGTAAACATTTGACATGAACCGACATATATATATTTAGTCACGCACAATTTAAAAGTGGCAACTCTTTAGCACGTTGCTATGGTGGTGGGGTCCACTTCAGTATTAATTTGGCAAAAGCATTAGTCTTCCCGAAATATACAAGCATTGATCTTATTGCTTCACAAATTGGCGAGGTGAAGTTCTTGTTTGTTATGCGGAGTGATAATCTTGCTGCTCATTTGGTTGCTTCGTTTGTTGCTTACTCGGTTGCTTTATTTGTTGCTTTGTATGGTGACTTTTATTTATAGGACGCTATTGATCCTGCTTTTCTATTTAATATTCTTAGTGAAAATGTAAATATTGTTGTTAGAATTTAATAAAGTATATATTTCGACAAAAAAAACAAGAAAAAGAAAAATATACAAGCATATTGTAATGGCCATATTAAGTTCCATGCAGATGTGAGCATGAAACATGTTGGATCGATCTACTTTCCAACCATATCATAAGTTGTTACAATATAATCATACATCGATCAGAATGGTTTTACATAGCATATCTCGAGTACTAATTAAAATTAGTAAGTTAATGCATAATGCATAATGTTAAATTTTAATGTCAACTTACTCCCCAATGTAGTGTAATCGACTCGAAAAAGAAGCAATTTGATCATTATTGTGAATATTTTTTTTTATAAAAAAATAATAATAATGTGTTCTTCAATTAATGTGGTCACAGTCAGACAAGTAAATGAGTTTTGTTGTAAGTACAGTTTTGTGTGAATGATTTTCATTGAACACTTAAAACACGGTTGGTTATATGATGGGATATCTTATGTAATTGATCCAAACAAGTAATTTATCATCCACAAATAAATTGATATTATTTTTAAATTCTTAAGATGACTTAGATTCGATTCTTGCCAAAGATGAAGGACTTAGGTTCGATTCTTGCCAAAGACGAAGGACTTAGGTTCGATTATCGCCAAAGACGAATTTGAATCACATTATTGCTAGCTCATTGTGAGGCTAAGCCCACCGCCTCTCACTTAGTGTAGATAATATTGTTTGTTAAAAAAAAAAAAATTTATCTTTATAATTTTTATAACATCTTCTATGAAATTTCAAACCTATGCCCGGCTCGCCCCTTGCTCATAGGGTTGGGTGACCGAGTTAGCACCTATTATTGCCTTTGTACACAACAAAGTTTTGTTGCGCTATCTAGCGTGTAAACTTGTCTCCTATCCCTCTTTTGGTTATTACAATTACTGGTCGTGCCTAACACATAGGCCAACCCCCTAACCTAATAAGAACAACTCTCCTTATGACCAAATGATGAACAAACAATTTGAGCATTTTATTAGTTAGGGCTTTTGCCCTCACCAATGCCCTTGCCTGTTATGTGCAAGGCCGGCCCTGAAAATGGGTCCTAGGCAAGCCTTCAAAGTGGGGTCCTAAAGTTCTCTGACTCCCAACCCTTGTATATAGACATGTGTAAAAAAAATTCACTAAATACATGAAAAGTCTATTTCTACATCAAATATCATTAAAAATTAATATAAAAAATAGAAAGATATACAAAAATTACACAAATATTATCCGTCTCGCGTTTTTAGATGCAAATGCACTTATTAAGTTTACATAATTTAATTTTTCAACCAATTCAAACCGAAATAGAAGTCCCTACCCAATACGCCAAATTCCAATCATTTTTCTATTGTTACAATGTTACTTATTATATTCAATAAATGAATGTATAGTGGATTAGAGAGACAACATCTTACAACTAGGAAAAATACTAGAGTGAAGAGGATAGTAATTTTCATGTACGAACCTAGGAGGATGAGATGGATTTGAATAATTTATTATATATTATATAAACTAATTTGAAAATTAAATAATGTCATTTTTCAAAAAGGTGGGAGTTTTAACCTTTTAGGTACATAATAAAGATATATGCGGTGTGATCTTAAAATAGGGTAAAAAACCTCATAAAAATAAACATAAAAGTGATATTTAAGAGAGAAGCAAAAAGTAAAAATAAGATGGTGGAAACTATTTAAAAGGGAGAATACGTGCAGCTATAAAAAAAAGATGGTGGGACCATCTTAAGTAAAATTGTGGAATTAAAATGATGTTGGGAACATAGTTGTCTTCTTCCTCGTGCGATGCTGACTCTCCAACAAAAGATTTATAGATTCTGGCGTTTGCATATAAGCCCGCATAGCTCCCGTCTATCTCCATCCAGACGTGCCTAATTTTGCCTAAAAATTGGGAGCCCTAGGCAGGCGCCTACTCCGGCTACCCTCAAGGCCCGCTCTAGATATGCGCCCTCCCTTACGTGCTAGTTCACCCCTTCTTAGACAATTAGTAATACAAGTTAACAATAGCAGTGGGGGATTGATATTGTAACCTCTTTCAACATTGAAAAGAGAAGTACTAGTAGACTAGTAATAGCTAATTGTTTTCATTTTGTGATTTGATTATTCTTTTTCTTTCGATAACAAAGTACCATATATGGGTGGGTATTTGAACCAACAAACAGCAAACACAATTAACGGAATGAAACAAAAAACGAACCAAATTGATTGATATTATTTGATTTAATTCTCAATTTAAAAGATGAATCGTACGAAAACGAACCGGACCCATCCATGATATATGCCTTTGCCATTAAGGCACAAACAATAGTGTTACATCAATAGTTAAATGCTTTCTACCATAAACAAAAGTATAATCGATCCTCCTTTTCCAAAAGCTCCCATTTGAACCTTTGATTTGCTTTAGCCGGAAGAGAGAGAGGCAGTCACGTCTGGCACGTTCATCTCATTACGCTACGTGGTAGCCTGGGAGATGTGGATCCCATGTTGACGTGGCCGATGATTGCATAGAAAAATTCAGGAGGAGTATCGTCGGATCTTGCAATCACATCTATTTATTGTTCATTGGGTAGTTTAAAATTATTGTAATTTTTTTATATTTAAAATTGAATATAAATAGTAACTGATAAAAAATAACCGCACAATGTAAAATGAACAGATTTAATTAGGAGATTCCAAAATCCTTACAAAGAAGATCGGATGAGAATTCTCTTTCTAGAAAAGCAACATTATATTATTTTTAAT